ACACACACACAAAGACATAGTCTACCTCCGTCCCTCTCGCTCACACGGCACTTGGACAAGCATACACACATTCTCCCTCCCTCCCTCCCTCCTCCTCTCCCTCCCTCTCTCGCTCACACACAAAAGCACACATTCTCCCTCCCTCCCTCTCTCACACACATTCACACTCCCAGTAGCGCACACATTCTCCCTCCCACTCTCTCACACACACACAAACACAAACACATCAAAAAAGAAGAGACCAACAGACGAGAGGCAAAGTATCAACACAAAGCGCACATGAAAAGTTGTCAAGGCACACACTCTCATCCCCAGAGACGGACAAGAGATGCAAAGAAGCAGGGGCAAACATGGACTACATATGTGGTCACTTTCGCATGAACTGCGTGGTTATCAACATCCCCAAACTCTCTATCTCATTCCATCCACATACCATCACAAACCATCCATAAACAAAGTATAGATGAGCTATATAATAGGTGCAAGGTTCCCCACGTTTGTATGGTTGAGTGGGAAGTGCCCACCACACCCGTCTGCAGACGAAGCAGCGCACTTGCACAAATATATTGTCACACTGTAAATCAGAGCACAATAGTTTTTTAATCTATAAAAACAAAAGGCAACGGGCAGAAGGCAACATAGCTAACACAGAAGCCTCCACCAGCAAGAAAGCACCGACCAGATCCCGCAGTAGTCCAAAAAAACTTGGGAGCGCCCTCCGAGTCAGCCCACAAGCCCAGCAGCACTGGCATTCCTATTCCTCCCAAACGACCCACTCATGTCACCATTATCTCTATCACTCCATGGCTAGACAGTCCCCATCTGCTGTCTAGCCTCTGGAGTGTATAGAGTACCATAATCCCAAAGACCACAAGATCTTCATGCGGCACCAGGAGGGCTTCTGCTTAAGTCACTGTTTCTTAGGTGTGCTCCAAAAGAGCAGCCCATGGGAATGGCACCCACAGCAAACACTCTCTGAGCCTCCTCGCCAAGATACTGTGGCCAGAACTCCAAGCATACATTCTCAAAAATCTACAGTGTGTGTGTGTGTGTGTGTGTAATCAGGCCATACCACCTGCTCGATGCTGCAAACATGGACTCACGCTTTTCAGCTGTAGTTTCCCACTGTTTATGCGCACCCCGACCCCATTTTCCATACAAGACCCCTTAACACTCACGTTTAAACCCTAAACCCTGACCCCCCCTAGGGGTCACACTCCCATGCTTGGTAAAAATGTGAAGAGTGGTGAGTGAATCATGTCATTAAAAGTGGAAAAATAAGTCACCTTTCACAAAAGTAGTCCATAGCAGTAAAGTCACTTTCCTAATAACTCAACTTTCCAAAGATTAGCCAAGTGAGGCCTCAACTCTCCAGTTCAAGCAAAGTGTACAGGCAATCCTTTTTTCCCGTTCCTTTTCTGCTCTTTTCCTTTTTTGGCTCCGCAGTCAATCCCTGCACGCGCTTCTTGAAAGAAAAAGAAAAGAAAGAAAGAAAGAAAAACAGTGACGACCTTGAGTTATCAACCTTGAACTACCGGCACCAGGCAATTCAAGAATTTCGGTCATCTAATCCATCTGGATGTGACCTCGGATCTGTTTTTTTTCAACAGTAGGCCGCTTCTATTTTCCTCCCTTTCCCCTCTTTTTTTTCCCCTTTACACCCACCACCCACTTTCTGAGCGAATCCACATCCCGGCCAAGTTCGTATCCAGATCATGCACACGGTCACACCAGCTGTCCGCAGTCGAACATTCGCACCAGGATACCACAGCAATTCCAAATTTCCTGCCTGTTTTTTTCCCCTCTTTCCCCTCAAAAATAAATTTAAAAAAAGTAGACAACAAGCACGAAAAAGAAAAAAGCTGTGTACGAGAAGCTCCCACTGGGGAAGGGATTTCTATTTTTCAGTTAATAAGTCAATTAAAATGGCTGACTGCACCGTGAAATCACAAGGTGGTCATTCTACGGCTCCGTCACCCTGGCACCCAATCTAGTTGAAATATTAAGTCAATCAAAATCCCGACCACAGGATTGCACGTCATCCGGCGGTCAGTATGGCTCTTTGTTTCTCAAAAACAAGTACTTTTAAAAGTCAATCCGGGTTGATGAGCAGTCCGCCAGGTATCCCAGTGGAGAGCATAGATGGGTGCTGTGCATGCGATCTGTACCAACCGTACCTGACCACACATCGGTATAGCCTGACTGAATCGACCCGAGCAACCGTACCTGACCACACATCGGTATAGCCTGACTGAATCGACCCGAGCGACCATACCTGACCACACATCGGCATATCCTGACTGACTCGACCCACGAGTTCCCCCTTTTTCAAGAGAGTAGTCTGACTGAGTCAAGCCCACCAAGTTCCTTTAAGAGGGAAATGTCATGGCAGCTCTCTACGTTCAGTGTTAGAAAGTTAAGAAGGGGGCTTGTGGTGGTGGGAGGGGGTAATACCTGACTTAAACCGCGACTACCTTCTCCACCCAAATACAATGTATGATAATTATAGCTGTATTTGGGGTATGTTTTAGTCTAAACACAGCAACAATGACTATAGATTGTATTCGGGTGAGGAAGAAGTTACCTTCCCCGGGCACCATCGGAAAATATGCCATTCTGGGTTCGTTGGAGGCTCAGGGCTACAGGACGCTGGTGGTGACAGCCCCCCCCCAGAAAAAAACACCGTGCTCGAGCTTCAGCGAAGTTGGTGCACAGGTGGGAATCCGCCTCGGCAAAGAGAGACTCGGAGGTAGTGGCGGTTTAACAGGGTAAGGCCATGTTGGTCATCTATTCTCAGTGTTCGAAAGTTAAAAAGGGTAAACGCCTGCCTTAACGTCCATAAAAATGTTGCTCACAAGAGATTTAAAATTAAAAAAAAACGTAAGAGGGTGTGGCACGTGCGTTCTGATGTCACCACTCACTCGTGGCCTGGCGGGATTGGGAACACAATTCTCCTTTGCCTTTTGTTCCTCTTTCGTAACTGAACTCCTGGCCTTCTGTTCCTCTTTTGCCATCATCCTGCAAAACAAGAAGACCAAAAAACGCAAAACAAAAAAAAAACAGGGGCAGTAAGCCAAACAAAGTCAGAAGGAAAAACATCCGCGCAACCCCCCCAAAGGCAGTTGCGCCGTCTCTCCCAAAGGCAGTTGCGCAATCATAATCCCTGCATCTGACCATAGACATGGCTTGTATACTTTCAGAATCAGGGTGCACATTATATTTTTTTGGGGGGGAACAGGGTGGGGGGGGGCGGTAGTAAATCCTTAGAAAATCCTTTGTAACCCCTATACGTAGAAATCAGGTTGTTCGGGGTGCATGTGATACACCTCCTCCTCTTCCTCCTCTTCCTCCTCTTCTTCCTGGTCCTCCCCCTCCTCTTCCTCCTGTTCCTCCCCTGTTCCTCCTCCTCCTCCTCCACATTCTCCTCAACCACAATCTTCCTCCTCCTCCATGTCTCCTCGGTCACACAAAATATGTTCCTCTCACAACGTGTTCAGAAACAATGCCTTATATCAAGGCTGTCGCCCTCTTTTGCATTATATAACACACCCACAGAGGGGGGGGGGGGGGGGGAAACAATGCCTAGGCTCAAGTTCCACCTGTGCATCCTTTTCTATTATATTCAAAATAAAAAAACGACGGCTAGGCTGAACATCCGTTAATGTGACCTTTTATATTATATTATATTCGAAAAAACAGAAGAAGAGTGTTTAGTAACAATGCCAGCCTGCCAGCCTCTTTTCCATTATATTTGGAAAAAAGAAACCGATGGGTAGGCTGACGATCCGTCCGTGGGTCTTTTTTTTTATATATATATTTAAAAAAGACGAAATGATGGCTAGGCTGAACATCCGCCCGTGTGACCTTTTTTATTATTCTTCGAAAACAAACAAAAAAGAAATGACGGCTAAACTGTACATCCGCGCGTGTGGGTGGCTAAATGGAACACACACTTAAAACAGCCGATCTACGGGCCGACCTTTTTTATCACATTTAGGGGGGGGGGGGGGGGGGGGGGAAGATTCCTTCCAAGCTCTGTCGAATATAACGATGCTAGGGGATCCCCGGTCCCTTATTTGCCAAGCAAAATTTTGGAAAAGGACAAATAGCGAGAGAGAGAGAGAGAGAGAGAGACCAACGGGCCTGGCTGAGTTGGTACACCCATGATCTGTTGAAATGCAGACCCAAGTTCGAATCCAGATGAATCAGATGAGTCAAATAACTCTGAATTTAGGCCGTCTCCCTTGAGAGAGAGAGAGAGAGAGAGAGAAACAACCCACCAACCAGCCTAGCTCGGAACACCCATGAACTGTTGAAACACAGACATAACAGTGCTCGGGGATCGGTGGATCCCTCCCTCTTTTGCCGAGCAAAATTTCACAAACAACTGGAAATAAAAGGGAAAGAGAGAATGCACCAACGAGCCTAGCTCAGTTGGTACATCCCGATGAACCGTTGAAATACAGACAGAACCCCAAGTTCGAACCCTGATGGATCTGGATGAACGGAATGAAATAAAATAATTATAAATCACCTGGCGCGGGTCAGCTCGACGACGACATCCCAAGGTCATCGCACTTTTTCCTCCCCAAAAAAAACGACAAAAGAAAAAGGAAAGAAGAAAAAGGAAGGAAGAAATAAATAATGCGTCCATCGTCCATCATCGACTCGGACCCGTACAATCAATCCGAACCGTCCATTCATATTCCCATCAATCTGATGCCCCCCAAGGCAAAAGAAAATCCCTACAGTCAATCCCCAGAATCCGTACGATCAATCCCCAGAGTCCGTTACGTACAGTTAATCTCCAGCGTCCGTACAATCAGTCCTAACTGTTCATTCATCTTCACTTCAATCTTTCAAAGGCCAAGGCAAGAAATAAACCATACAATCAATCCCCAGAATCCGTACAATCAATCAATCAATCTCCAGCACATCTGTACAATCAATCTTCCGCATCCGTATCATCAATCTCCAGAGTCCGTACATCCGTACCATCAATCTCCAGAGTCCGTACATCCGTACCATCAATCTCCAGAGTCCGTACAATCAAAAATCCCAATCGTTCCTTCATCTTCACTTCAATCTAAAGGCCAAGGCAAAACGAAATTGTGTACAACCAATCCCCAGAATCCGTACGTACAATCAATCCCCCGAGTCTGTACACTCAATCCGTACTCTTGGCGTCCCTGTACCGTTCAACTCGTCGTTCCCAGCCCCTCCATCTTGGATGAGACCAAATCTTGGTCGTTGATGATTTGATTATACGCTCACACACGTGCTCACATCCACGCCGTCCAACATGTATTTCACGGCACGGATCTCCACATCATCATCATCATCATCAAAAACCCGATCATCACCCTCATCAACAGCGCGGACTCATCCTTGATTGACACCATCGTCCCGGTATCCACGTCATCATCAACATCATCATCATCAAAAACATGATCATCACCCTCATCAACAGCGCGGACTCATCCTTGATCGACACCATCGTCCCGGTATCCACATCATCATCATCAACATCAACATCATCAACATCATCAACATCATCAACATCATCAACATGATCAACATCAACATCATCATTCCAATCATCAACCACGCTCATAGAATATATCAAGATGAAAATTTCTCCGAACGCTGTAATTAATCCCTGCCTTCTCTATAAATAAAAAATATATATATATCATACATATATATCGTCAAACAGAGCTGCCCGGTAAACCGTAGGCAGAGAGGGAGGGAGAAGAGGACAACAAACGAGGGGCTGTGACAAACTGTTTCATCGGAGTTTCACCAACTCATCACGAGGCTGAACCCTCGACAGTCCGCAGAATCCCCTACTGATTACACTAAGTGATAATATATATCGTCACTATATATAAATGAATCCCTGCCTTGTCTCCCACCAAGGGGCCTAGCTCCGTCGGTACACCCCAATGAACTGTGGAAATACACACCCGTGTTCGAATCCAAACGCAAACAGATGAGCAGAATCAAACAATTCTGAATTACCTGGGCCAGGTCAGTTCAATGATGATATCTCAAGACCGTCACACTTTGAAAACGAAGTAAAAAAAGAATCCCTGCCTTCTCTTCAGCAACCATCGCTTGCAATCCATAAGAGTTATTGAACCGTTCTCGCTTGTCATCATCATCATCATCAACACCACTACCGACCAAATCCAAAATACTACATGCCCCCTGCACTTCCGGAGAAGGAAGAAGGAAGAAGACGAAAAAAGGAAGAAGAGAGAATAAACGAACGAAGAAGAAAGAAGAAATAAAGAAGGAAGAAGGAAGGCGAAGAAGGAAGAAGGAAGAAGGAAGAAGCAAGAAGGATGAAGCAAGAAGAGAAAGAAGTAGAAGAAAGGAAAGAACCAGACGAAGAAAAACGTACACGGAGAAAAGTGAAATCAGGGGGGCCACCTGCCTCTCCTACATGCATAGCCAGCCCCTGCGCTTTCAAGGATGGCATGCACAAGAAGAAGGAACAAGAAAAACAAGGAAGAAAGAAGAAGTGGAAATGATGCCCCGTCAAAAGAGGGGCCAACTGCCTTTCATACACGCTTCAAACAAAAACAAAAACAAAAAAAAACACGCTTCAAAAGCTCTTCAAGAAGAAAGGAAAGAACACCCCATCCAACTTCTCCTTCTGATTAACATCCCTGAACAGCCCCGGAAAGCGGAAAGGATTTGGTATGGATTCATAAGGTGACCCTATGGGTCATATGGAAGGAAAGATGCAGCAGAACGATTGAAGGTATCTCCAGCTCACGAGAGCTGATCTGGACGGAGACGAAAGTAATGATACAGGCAGAGATCCTTTGCAGATGGCGAAAGATTAAATTATCTTGGTCAGAGGATGAAGAGCAGCAAAGGAAGGCTAGACGGAGCTTCAGCAGGGCATGGTTGATAGATGGGAAAGTTGCTGAGTTGCGGGATGATTGCATCTGTTGGAAGGACTGGCACAACTCTAGCTCAGGAAGAAACACTGGGCAGCAGAGTGCACCGCACGCGCAAAGCACCTCCGGATCAGATCTCTAAAGAGAAAGCTTCGGACTCATACCACCACATTCGGGGAGATACAATCAGGGTTTGGAGTTACGCCAATGGAAGGCGAGAGCAAGGGAGGAGAGATTTTAAAAATATTACTCCCAAGTGAGGGGCAGGGTTTAGGGTTTAGGGTTTAGTAGACCTCAAAAGAAGGGAGAAGGCTTAATGGTTTAGGGGATACAGTGACTTACGGGCAGGGCCGATAAGGGGGAGAGCACAGGCATATAGAAATAATGGGCGAGCTCTTTCTAGATGACATAGCACTATCTGGCAGAGCTGGTGTTTTTTTCAGGTCTGAGAGGAAAGAGGGAGTCATGGCAAGCTGACAGGCAATCCTTCACCACTGGTGGAGCAATCAATGCTGTTCAGGGGTCCTCCGGCCAAACGGGAGGAAGCGTGAGTTTCTGCTGTAATGTAATGTTTCTTCTGACTTGCTGGTGGAATAGGAACCGGACCGACGCTCCCCAGAATAGAAGGAGCCAGGACCATAAGGCCCTGCGTTTATTAAAAAAAAAAGAAAGGAAAGAAGAAGAGGGAGAAGTAGAAGAACAGTGGATAGTGAAATCGTCAGAGGGGGGGGGGGGGAAAGTAACTGGCTTTACAACACGTCGCGCATACACGTCTAAGCGCATACTCGCACTAGGACTTTCCGGCATGTATCTGACTGCGATTCAGGCCCATCCTGCATGTACCTGATCGCCATCACATCCCAGAGTCGTCGAAAAGTCCTAGTGGGAGTACACCCTCGGTTATGCGCACGTTCCCCGGCGCGTCTCTGATCAGTTGCCCTCCGTCCTGCATGTATCTGATCGCAAGTATGTCCACAGAGTAGTCAAAAAAGTCCTGATATGAATCCAACAGCAGGCTTCCCGCACTACCATGCTTGCGCCTCACCGACAATTCATCCTTCCATCCCAAGAAGAAGAAGAAGAAGAAAAGGAAGTGAAAAAAAAAGAAGAAAAAGAGAGCAACAAGAAGAAGAAGAGACCAAAAAGAAGAAGAAAAAGAGCGAAAGAAAAAGACAAATTAAGTGCAAACTAAACAAAAAAAAAAAGAAGACGAAGAAGAGAAAAAAAGCAAAAGANAAAAAAAAAAAAAAAAAAAAAAAAAAAAAAAAAAAAAAAAAAAAAAAAAAAAAAAAAAAAAAAAAAAAAAAAAGGGGGGGGGGGGGGGGGGGGGGGAACAACTGGACGGAAAGGAGTGGAAGAACGGAAGGAATTAAAAAAAAGAAAAGTGAAGAGAATTAAACAAGCAAAAAGGATTTCAAAAAAAGAAAACGAAAGAGGGAAAGAGAGTAGAAAAATACGCAAGAGAAGAAAATAATGAAATAACGACAAAACAGTTTGTCACAGCCCCTCATTTGTTGTCCTCTTCTCCTTCTCTGCCTACTGCATTGAGCCTCACTGCTCATGAGCGTACACACACATTAAGAGATCAGACGAATTCCACACTGAAGACCAGAGATGTAAAGTCCAGATATGCGCAGCTTAGAAATCCCAACAAATTATCACATTAAACAGTTCCGGAGATCCAGTCACGAAGCCCTCAACAGTGCAGAGTACAGCAACCCAATACCAGCATCCTCATCACAGGTAGGTGACTCTCTTATCCCCCTCTCTGTCTTCCTCTCTCTCTCTCTCTCTCCCTCTGTCTCCTCTCTATCCCTTCTGGTCTTCCTCATGCATGCGCTCTCTCTCTCCCTCTCTCTCTCTACTTGAGAGTCTAGACTCTGAATACATCCGCTGCTACTCTGTTCTGCCTTCTATCACTAGCTATATGCAGCTATGGCCGCCTTCCCTCTCAGTGCAGCGCTGCCCCAGCAGGGCTCTCGCGCGCATGCTACTCACAAATAGTGCACAAGCGCTTCAGCAGCACTTCCACACAACTCACGAATGAGCAATCTGTCCAAAATGTGGCTGGCCAGTCCTTACATTGACTTGGACTGAGCTTTGAGCTTCAACTCGTCCCAGCCTCTGCTTCTTGTGGCTTGACTTGGTACTGGTACCACATGCCCACGGCCGCTTGCTTCAGAATGTCAAGGCCTGGTACTTTTCCCGAATTTTCATTGGTGTGCTGCCGCTTGGGCCTGCGAGTCACGACTTTTCACCTGTGGAACTCGACTTTTGACTGTGGGATGTGACGCTTGCCTCTGGGACACGACTTTTGCCTGGAGAAGTGTCCTTTGCCTGTGGGGTATGACTTTTCAATATGGCTTTTTCAATATGAGACGTGACTTTTGCTTATAGAAAACGCAACCTTCGCTTCTGGGATGTGACCGTTCACCGGGTGCCTGTTGGACTTGCCTCCTAAGGTACCCACCCGACTGTGACTTTCCTGAAACTGACCGACTTGGCCTGAGACCTTGACCCTGAAATTCGAATTTGGGGTCTGCATCGTGGAACGCCTTTCACTACGGTATATGTATATATGTCGTCAAACAGAGCTACCTGGTAAACCGTAGGCAGAAAGGGAGAAGAGGACAACAAAGGAGGGGCGGTGACAAACTGTTTCGTCCGAGTTTCATCGACTCATCAGGAGGCTGATACATATCGTCAAACTCCGACGAAATAGTTTGTAACAGCCCCTCGTTTGTTGTCCTCTTCTCCCTTTTGTCCCTCTCTGCCTACGGTATATGTATACATATTGTCACAGAACTATCGACTAAGAGCGCAAACACGTGAAGTAGAAGAAGAAATAAGATGAGCGAAGAAAAGAAAAAAATGAAAGGACAGACAGGCAAAGAGACAGACAAACCAGAAAGACAGAAAACAGTGTCTTCTTCTTTTTTATTTCTTTCAGAGTTTTATAATTTTTTTACACTGAACAAAGGATAAAAATGAAAAAACAAAGACACATTTGAAATCATTCAATTTCTCAGTCTTCTTAACTCCTCCTCCACTGCGCCTCTCACGTACAAGGCTCACCACGTTGATGAAGTTGAGAGCGAGCTGCCCCCATCCCCCTATGACATAACAGCCCACTTGCACGCTGTGTGAAAGAGGCAGAGGAAAGGGAGAGGTGTTA